AAGTACACAGTCACTACACTTTACAGGAAAATCCTATGAAGCGCTTTGAGACACCCCGACAATGTGATAAAATCTTTATGAAACAGATTATTATTTGATTGGGGAGGTGGGGGTGGAATTGAATTTTTATTATCGGTACCGATTGCTACAAAATGAAGTTTCAAAGGAATCCTATCCTCTAATCCTGAAATCATCTGCCTATCCATGGGTTAACACACTATAGGACCTCTAATTGTGGAATGCAAAGGACGGTGTTAAAGTCCACAGAAAAGAGTAAGCTGCTGGGTGCAGTGCCCGACAGGGAATGAAATTTAGTAAATCCTCGTGTCAAGAACCATGGTGAATGCGACATCCAATCTCTCTGCTGAGCCGAGAATACAATGTGTAATAGTTGACCGTGTTACAATGCGAGCACTTATCTTATTCCAGAACAAACAGTCCTTTTAACTGGTTAAACGACACAAAGAAACAGGCTGAATATCAATCCATTATATTTAGTAATTATTTGCAGTCACCAAGGCGGCGGCACTGATATTGATTATGTTAATCTACAGTATCTGATGTAGTCTACATGTCGGAATGTCAAAGCACTTCATTGGAAATCACTAGTGTAGTGACTACGTATTTTGCAGGTGAACATAGCAGCTAATTTGCACATAGAAATGTCCCTCAAACAGCCATAAATTGAATGACTGATTTTATCTGAGGGATTGTTGACTGCGACACCAGGAGAAATTTTTGGAAAATTCTCTTTTTGGAAAGTGCCACAGGATCTGTGCAACTGAGAGTGAGTGTGCAAGGGGTGGGGGCTTTTATGCCCTTCCCTCCAACCTTTACTCCATAAAATGCCGCTGTTTCATAACTATCACAAGCATCGCATTATTAATGTGGCAAAATTGACCCAGTATTTCCTAAATTGGTGTTCAGCAAAATGCAAAAAGCAATATCAACCTTTTGGTACACACTGACTTTGTGTTCTGCTACAAATGTTACTTACAAAGTCAGAAAGGGTGCCACTTTGAAATGTCACTTGCTGCCATTGGAACAGTGTGGCAGTCCTTTGAAGTCAACAAGACCATCAAAGCCCTCTTGCTGATAATAATAATCCTTGCATTTGATATAGCTTCTTATCACTTCGTCTTCAGTTCTTCAAAGAATATACTGTAAAGTGAATTGACTGTGTATCTTGTGGATGAAATGCACAGCCAATTGCGTATAGCAGTGTCCCACGAATAGTCATGGATTGAGTGACCATATCAATCAACCAGATTCCTACAAGCTGCTTGGTAAACAGAAGTGTGTGGAGTAAGGAAACATACCCCAAGATTTCAAATCCAAGGAATTAAACCCAGATCCTGAGTGTTCTAACCAATATACTACAGGACTCCAACGATTGACTCCGACAGAAGAGAATGTTTTCAGAATTCCTACATTGGAAATTAAACCTTATTTAACCTTACTAATACATATTGTACAACAACAACAACAAGATTCCATTTATAAAGCGCCTTTCACGTCAGGAGGACGTCCCAAGGCGCTGCACAGTTGGCTCATGACCCGAGCAGGGGGGAAATGGTCAGGGTGAGGGGAGGGAGCGAGGAGGGGGGAAATGGTCAGGGTGAGGGGAGGGATGGGAGGGAGCGAGAAGGGGGAAGAGAGTCGAGAGGGGAGCTGAAGGCTTGGTCAAAGAGAAAGGTTTTGAGACCGGCCTTGAAGGAGGAAAGGGAGGAAGCAAGGCGAAGGCACTGGGGGATGGAGTTCCAGAGCCTCGGGGCTGAGAGGCTGAAGGCCCGACCACCAATGGTAGGGCGATTGGGGCGGGGGACGTGGAGCAGACCGGAGCCGGAGGAACGGAGGGTACGGGCAGGTAGGTAGGGGGATAGTAGGTTGGAGAGGTAGGAGGGAGCAAGGCCGTGAATGGCCTTGTAGGTGAGGATGAGGATCTTGAAATCAATCCTCTGGGGGATGGGGAGCCAGTGGAGGCGAGCGAGGGTGGGAGTGATGTGGTCCCGAAGCCTGGTGCGGGACAGTACACGAGCTGCAGAGTTCTGAATGACCTGCAGCTTGTGGAGGGAGGTGGCGGGAAGGCCGGCGAGGAGAGAGTTCCCATAGTCCAGCCTTGAGGTGACAAAGGCGTGAACCAGGGTTTCAGCAGCGTGAGGGGTGAGGTAATGCCGTAGTCTGGCGATGTTCCGGAGGTGATGGAAGGCGGTGCCAGTTGTGGTGCGGATGTGAGGGAGAAAGGACAGCTCAGGGTCGAACAAAACGCCGAGGTTCCTGACTGGCTTTGAGAGGTGGAGAGTGCAGCCTTGGATGCTGATGGTGTCGGCGCCTGAGGTGCGGAGGCGCTGACGTGAGCCAATCAGGAGGGCCTCGGTTTTTCGCACGTTGAGCTGAAGAAAGTTGTCTCTCGTCCAGGACTCGATGTCGGACAGGCAGGCTGTCAGGACATCGGTGGTCGTGGAGTTGAGAGTAGAGGAGGAAAGGTAGAGTTGGGTGTCATCCGCATACATGTGGAAGTTAACTCCATGTCTGCGGATGATGTCACCAAGGGGGAGCATATAGAGGGTGAAGAGGAGGGGACCGAGGACAGAGCCCTGAGGGACACCACATGAGACAGTACGGGGGGTGGAGGAGAAGCCATTCGTCGAGACAAAGTGAAGACGGTGAGAAAGGTACGACCTAAACCACTCAAGGACAGTGCCTTGAAGGTTGAGGTGGGAGGACAAGCGGTGGAGTAGGATAGCGTGGTCGACCGTATCGAATGCTGCCGATAGGTCGAGGAGGACGAGGAGGCAGAGGGAGCCCTGGTCACAGATGGTCAGGATATCATTGGTGACCTTGACCAGGGCAGTTTCTGTGCTATGGGCAGCACGGAAACCTGACTGAAGGGGTTCGAAAAGAGAATGGGTGGAAAGGAAAGAGCGCAGTTGGGAGGCGACAACTCTTTCCAAGACCTTGGAGAGAAAGGGGAGGTTGGAGATGGGCCGGTAGCTTGATAGCTGCGACGCATCAAGGGAGGGTTTTTTCAGGGTGGGCGTGATGATGGCAGTTTTTAATGGAATGGGGACAGAGCCAGAGGAGAGGGACAGGTTTATGATGTTTATGAGCGGGTGGTTGGTTTTAGGGATAGGATGAGTTTCGTGACCGAGGGTGGGGAAACGGGTACAAAAGTGAGTAGGGGAGGATGGGTTGCAGTCGGAGTGAGGGGGTGGGGGGTTGGTGGATGTTGGAGGGGAAGTGACCGCGGAGCGAATTCCCTTGATCTTTGATTCAAGGAAATCCAGCATCTCCTCGCAGTGAAGGTTGGAGGAGATGACCTGCGCGGGGTGGCGGGGGGGACGGAGGAGTCGGGTTGTGGTGGAAAACAGTAGCCTGGGGTTGTTCTTCGCCTCCAGGATTATCCTGGAGTAGAAGGACGACTTGGCCGAGGCTAGAGTGGAGCGGTAAATTTTGAGGAGGTCCAGCCAGATTTGTCGGTGGACCGTTAGGCCAGATTTGACACAGGTGCGTTCAGCAGCCCGCACCTGGCTTTGTATTCATAATAAGATAACATTTTTAAGCATTTAAATTTTCAGGGAATTGTAGTAATAATAATCCTTGAATTTGATAAATCTATAATGTCAAAAAGTCTTAAAAGCACTTCACAGGAAACTGCTGTCAGTTGGGATTGCAGTGACTGTATTTGAAGAAAAAGTCAGAAGCCATAAAGTGAAATGACCAATTTTATCTTGAAAGATTGTCGACCTAAACACTGGAAAAAACTTCCTTCTCTTTTCGAATTATGCCACGGGATCTTTAACAGCCACCTAAACAAGCACAAATGGTATCTTGGTTTACTGCATCATCTGAAAAAAAATCATTCTGACAATGCATCGCTTCCCCCACCATTGCACTGGAGTGATAGCCTAGACTAAGAGTCCACAATATGGGGCTTTAGCCCACAACCTTCTGACTCAGAGATGAGAGTGCTTCCGACTGGGCCAGGCTAACACCTGCCAAATGCATGCATACGGATTTTAGCAACAGGTGGTGAGGAGAGGTCAGAAGCGGACAATGGAAGAAGGCAGAGTTTGGCAATGGATCAGTTATGGATGTCACGCAAAATCAAGGCTGCCTTTTGCGAAGTGCAGCAGTTGTAGGTGTGATTGAAGGCGTGGAGCTTCTGGTTAGTTTAATCTCAAGGACGGGCAACATGACTGATCTGAGGTATATTATGCTGTTTTTAGGTGCTAAAGCCACCTGGGATTTGGAACCTTCTGTTGCATTGCTGTAATTCCAGATGTGTCCTGGAATGCATTTTGTTATTTGTCTTATGACTCTTTCCACTCAGCTCTTGTTAACCTGCAAGCCAAAGCCCTAATGGTGCAGTTTAAGGCAGTGGTGTAAGGAGAATTGCAAATTATTACTGAAGCCTGTAGGTGCAGTGCAGAAGATAAGCCAAAAATATGCACCTGCAGGCAAATGTAATTGTTGCTGGTGTGATGCATTGCATCTGTACGGGGTGTTCAAAATAAAGAGGGATATATGATGACAATCGTGCATAATATAGCACCTTTGACAGCAGGATGTCTCAAAGCGTTTTACAGGATTTACTGTAAAGTGTAGTGACTGTATTGTGTAGGCAGCCAATTTGTGCCCAGTGATGCCCCACAAAAAGGCATGAAGTCAATGACCAGTTTTATCTAGAGGAGTGTCGGCTAGGACTCAGGGAGAAACTCCCTTCTCCTTTCCAATAGTGTCACAGGTTCTTTATTGTCCACCTGAATAGCACTTGACTGGCATCATAGGTTGTGACATCGGGCTTGAAGCCATAAACTTCTGACTCAAAGGTGCGAGTGCTGCCAGCTGAGCTAGGCTGGCACTTGTTATAAAACAAATATTGGAAAAAGGAAAGGTTAAGGTGAAGGAGGCCAAAACGAAGGGTCTTTCAGACAGGTGAAGGCAGGGCTTCAATGGGCTATAAATTTCACTCATTCTCTGATCCTTGCTTCCCGCAGGTATGGCCTCGAGAGTGCAAGTCTTCTCCTCTCACACTGTTCAGTCAAGTGCCTTCTGCAGCGTGAAGAAGCTGAAAGTCGAGCCGCGTTCTGACTGGGATATGACCGGTTCTGCACCGCGCAGCAAAGTCTACAGCCAGAACAAGAGCGCAGCCCTCGCCCAGTCCACAGTCAGTGCCTCCCTACACGTCGCCAATCTCGCTCCGCTCTATGAGCGGGCAGCTGTCCTCCCAGCGAGCGACGGACACCCCCTCACAAGGGTCGGGGGCAGTGCGGGGGGAGCAGACACATCGGTGTCCGCGCACGGGCCCTACGGCCCCCACAACCTGACGCTCCGCAGCACTATCACCCTCCTGGACACCTACCAGAGATGCAGTCTGAAGCGTAAGAGCGAGGAGGTCGAGAGCAGTGGCAGTGTGCAGATAATCGAGGAATATCCTCCAATGCTTCAGAACAACGCCAGCGGGACTACTGTTGCCACGGCAGCCACTTCCACCGCCACGTCCAAGAACAGCGGCTCCAACAGTGAAGGGGACTATCAGCTCGTGCAGCACGAGGTGCTTTGTTCAATGACTAACACCTATGAGGTCTTGGAGTTCCTGGGCCGCGGGACCTTTGGCCAAGTGGTGAAGTGCTGGAAAAGGGGAACCAACGAGATTGTGGCCATCAAGATCTTGAAAAACCACCCTTCGTACGCGCGGCAGGGCCAAATCGAGGTCAGCATCCTAGCCCGGCTCAGCACTGAGAGCGCGGACGACTACAACTTTGTCCGAGCCTACGAGTGCTTCCAGCACAAGAATCACACCTGCCTGGTCTTCGAGATGCTTGAGCAGAACTTGTACGATTTTCTGAAACACAACAAGTTCAGCCCCCTGCCTCTCAGGTATATTCGGCCAATCCTGCAACAGGTCACCACCGCCCTGATGAAGCTCAAGAGCTTGGGCTTGATCCACGCTGACCTGAAGCCAGAGAACATCATGCTGGTAGAGCCCATCCGACAGCCCTACCGAGTCAAGGTCATCGACTTCGGCTCAGCCAGCCATGTGTCCAAAGCTGTGTGCTCCACGTACTTGCAGTCCAGATACTACAGGTACGTCCCATATTCTTTCCAAACTTCTGCAGGCACAAGCGTGGATGTTGACTCCACACTGGGCCCATTGTGTGTCAGCCTGGCTTAGTTGGTATCACTCTTACTGCTGAGTCAGAAGCTTCAAGCCCCAAATCAGGACTTGGAAACCGTACAGTCTATGCTGACAAGCCATTCCTTCAGATGCGACTTCAACCCGAGATTCTGTCAGCTTGTCCTTAAAGATCCTATGGCACTATTCGAAAAGTGAAGGCAGTTTCTCCTGGTGTCCTGGCCGACAATCTTCCAAATAAGTTGGTCAACCACCACCACAACAACAACTTGCATTGATATAGCGCCCTCTATGGCATGCAGAGTCTCAGAGTGCTTAACAATCTCGGCCTGAGGCCAAGCTGGGAGAAGGGGGAGGTGACCATAGGCACGGTCGAAGAGAAAGATTTTCAGGCGCGCCATGAAGGGGCGGGGGGGGCGAGCGAGGCTAAGTGAAGTGGCTGAAGGCACGGCTGCCGATGGTGGATAGGGGGATGCCAAGGTATGGAGGGATTTAAAGACTAGAGTGAAGATCTTGGTTGATCCACTCTGTGACAGGAAACCTATGGAGTTTGACAAAGACTGGAGCAATCGGGGTATGCAGTTTGGTGCGAGTGAGAATGCAGGCGGCGCAGTTTTTGAATGAGCTGAATTTTGTGAATAGTGGAGGAGGGGAAGACGGGCGAGTAGGGCGTCAAGAGTAGCCCAGCCGAGGTGACAAAGGCGTGAACGAGAGTTTCGGTTGCTTTCGGGATGAGGTAGTGTCAGCCAATGTGGCAGAGGTGGAAGAAAGCAGTGCTGGTCAGGGGCCAGATGTGGGGGAGGAAAGATAACTGGTTCCCAGTGTGGCTGGACGGTGAGTGGCACCCAGGCTTCTGGAAATTTCCATGTCTTGAATGGAATACACATTCCAGACACATGGGACCAAGATGCACATTAGAGTTTGGCTTGAAGGGTTACAGTTGAGTGGGAAGAATTCCTGCTCTCAGTCTGTCCCTCCCAGTTCTTCTGATGAGCCAGACTGGCTGGTCTGGTATCAGCAGGGCACTGTAGCACCACCGACTCGCCTGGCTCAGGAACCGGACTAGAGCCACAATGTGTTAATTCCACACTTAACCAACCAAGCCTTCATTGTAGTCTGCTGGAGAGGAGAGTGAGTTTTCTGTGTCAAGTATTGAATAGAATTTCTTTGCTTAATGTGACACACACCTGAACTGAAGACACACCCAGGGGGACATCAGTGCCGGAGATGAGTGCCATTGGGCGTTTGAAACTCATGTCACTTCCCACAGGGAAGTTGGCAAGTGGCAGCATTTCAAATAAATATTACAGATATTTTCCGAGCTGCCGCCGACAAAAACACTTCACTTGTGACCCCCCCCACCCCACCTCTCAGGACAGTGCAAGCTCAGGAACAACTGGAGTCACACTTTACAATAATATTCTGTGAAGTGCTTTGGGATGTCTCAATGACGTGATAAGGCTCCATATCAAATGCAAGTATCAGTATTATTCATGTTCCTCGTGGATATGTAAATAAGAATGCCTTTACAAAGAACCTACAAGCTATTTATTTAAATAGAAGTTATTTAAAGGGAAGATAGTGTTTTTTTTATTTTGAAAGGGCAACAGTGTGCTGGACAGAATTTGCAGTTTAAATGCCCCAAAGCATCCAAGCTATGCATGGTCAGCTGTAAAGGCAAGGGATGTGGAATACCAGGTTGAGAAGAATATGGAATCCTATAATTCAGAGTAATGTGGAATACGGATATTTGGATTTTGCTGGATACTGTGGAATGCTCAACCCACTGACAATGAACAGCAACTGGAGTGATGGAAAAGACAGAGAGAAGCTGGGTAACCGACTTGGCCTGACTGCACTCTTGCCGTTTAACAATACCTCAGGACTGGAGTCCTGCATTCTGCTTGAAGTGCTGATGTACATTCTGGGGAAACGTTCTAGCAGCCAGGCTCGGCTATGTGTGCCCAGCAGCTGCTTCTATGTTCTGTAGCTCTTTCTCTTGTTCCAGGCCTCACCTTTATGCAAATTTAAACCAGTCATCTCTAGGTTGACATTGGGATTGGATGGCAAAGGTGATTTCCTTCTGCAGCAAATTAAGTACTGCATGAATGTGCAGCTACGTTTTTAAAGGAGGCTGCTCGACCGAGAGGGGAATCTTCACCAATTTTACATTTCTGCAGTGCCTCTCATGTCGGACATCTCAAATACCTTACACAATCATCTGAGAGCGTGAGGTGGGGGTGGTGAGAGTTGGTGGGGGGGGGGGGGGAAGGTGACCAAAAAGCTTCCTCAGTTGGTTGAACGATCTGAGTCAAAGGGGTGTGGGTTCAAGCCCCATGTTGGGACGTGGAACTCATGTAGTCTAAATCCAGTCCTGGGGACGTGCTGCATTGTTGGAAGCACCATTCTTAGGATGAGATGTTAAACTGAGGCTCTTTCCGTACCTGTTCAGGAGTATGTTAAAGATTCCGTGGCTGTCACTTCACTTTATAATATATACTGTGAAGCATTTTGGCATATCCTGATGGAATGAAAGGAGCTGTATCAAATGCAAGGAATATTAAAGTGTATCATGCGCCTGCTCGGCCTTCTGGCAGTTGCAGGCCCAGATTATGGGAATGTTGTAAGGCGTAAATTCCTTGCCTTAAGATAACGTCGGGGCAACTTGAATATAATAATAATAATCCTTTCATTTGATATAGTGCTTTTCACGTCTTCTAGATGTCTCAAAGCGCTTCACAGAATATGCTGTAAAGTGAATTGACTGTATATTTGTGGGCGAAATGCGGCAGCCAATTGTGCACAGCAGTGTCCCACAAACAGTGGGATTGAACAGTCGTGGATTGAAAATGACCAATTTTTTATTGTTTTTTTGTTTTTTGGAGGGATTATTATTAGGTGTGAGGAATAAGGAAACTTGCCCAAGGTTTCGCCCTGTCTGGAATTGAACTCAGGTGTCTCGCTTGCAAGGCGTGTGCTCTAACTACTGAATTACAGGACTCCACAATTATAGCAGAATGAGGATAATACAACCCGAGAGGTGAGAGGGGGAATCCTCCCTCACCGCGAAAAATAAAGGTTCAAGCCCCACTTTGCGACTTTGAGCTCGTTGTGAAGGCTGACACTGCAGTGCTGGGATGAGTTGGGAGCCAGGCTGTCAACCATCTGTACTGCAAGAATACAAAAGTAAGCACAGGATCAGAAAAGGCCATACCACCCATTCAGGTAGTGCATACTGTGAGAACCGGGCATTGAGCATGGTGGTTGTTTTGGATGAGGCACCAAATCTGTTGTGAGATGTTGTGAGTCCCACTTTCCCGTTCAGGAAAAATGTCGGGACTGAGTGTGAGGCATGAGGGAGACCCAGAAGCTCTTCACAAGGTATTCCAGAATTCCCAAGCACTAGCGAGGAAAGATCGGCAGTCAACCATTCCTGTTCAGGTAGTCAGTTCTGGCCACTTGCTTCCTGTGGATGATGCTGTACACCAGGGAGTACTTGATCAAATTGGCAACAGCTTTTCTCCCCAGTCTTTAATCCCACTCCTGACAGCTCCGCTGCTGTTTTTCCAGGATGAACGGCTGTTTCTGGCAGAGAGTCCCTCACATCTGTTCATGTGGATTTCATCTAATCTCTCTTCCTTCGCATGCACAAGGGAAAAGGGAATGGAGGATTGCGGTGGGGTGGGGGGGAAGTTAGCAGAGGGTATTAGGAGGGGTGGAGCTCATTTGGAGTATAAGCGGTACAGGCTAGTTGCTCTAAAGCCAGTTTTAATGCTGCACAATCTGCAATTCTTGAGGTTGAAGATATGTTGTAGCCCTATCTCCACACCCCCTCAACCCTCTATCTTTCATACAAATGTCAATTTCCACTTGAAGCACACAACAGACTCTGCCTCTACCACTTTACTAGACAGGGTATTTCACATCCCAAAAGCTCTTTCTGTGAAAAATTCTCCTATCTCTTCTTTGACTCATCTTGTGACTATCTTGTATCTATGTTCTCCAGTCATTGACTTCCCACACCAGTGAAGGTAGCTTCTCCCTATTTATCCTGTCAAAACTACCTCATATTTTTGTACATCTTTATCCATGTGCAGTCCTGTAGCTCAGTGGTTAGAGCACTCGCTTTGCAAGTGAGAGACCTGGGTTCAATTCCAGGCAGGGCGAAACCTTGGGCAAGTTTCCTTACTCCACACGCCTAATAATAGTCCCTCCAAAAAAAACCAATAATATAAATTGGTCATTTTCAATCCACAATTGTGGGACATTGCTGTGCGAAATTGGCTGCCACGTTCGCCCACAAATATACAGTCAATTCACTTTAGAGTATATTCTGTGAAGCGCTTTGGGACGTCTAGAAGATGTGAAAAGCGCTATATCAAATGCAAGGATTATTTTATTATTCATCCAGGTCCCCTCTCAACCTTCTCTGTTCCAGTGAAGTATTTAATGAAATAAATTTGGGCTCTTCATAAAGGTTGTAAATTATCTGTTGTTAATGATATGTTTCTGTCAGGGATGGTGTGTGGAGGCATTTCCAATAGCCCCTGTGCTGGTGGTTTTCCTCCTGGTCTCACCATCAGAGAAAAAATGGTTCTTCACTTCTTGGCTGCTTGTGGGACGTTGCTGTGTGCAAATTGGCTCCTTCATCCACCTACAAAATAGGCAGTACAGTACAATACAAACCATCTTATAACAATCAATGCCCTATGAAGAACATAGAGACGATTAAACGTTAAAGTCGCTGCATGAAATAGAAGGATTATTTATCTGTCGAGACGACTCAATGATGGGATAAGGTACGGTATCAAATGCAACGATTATATTATTATAAGAAAAGAGGAGTGTCTAGCAGTGAGTGATATTGGAGAGCTTATTGTTTTGCAACCTGGAAGTGCACACTTATCTCCCCCACTCATCATGCCCCCACAGTAACTCCTTAATCTCCCTC